AAAGATTTAAAATCCCTTTTGTTGAAGTTCGCATTTATCTCCGGAAAAAAATAAAAATTAGCGGTTATGAGACAGAGAGAAAGCAACGTCAATATGAGTGAATCAACGCTGTCGCCCCCCCCCAAGACCAACCCAACCAAGGAGTCATGTAACAGTCTGTCTTTTTGCCAACCCCATTCCGCTATCCATTCGAATAAACTCATTAGGAAGGTATCCCCATTCTCTCTTTCCCGCTCTCTTCGGTGTATTCCGTGAGTTTCAGATTCTCCAAGCTTTCTTTTAACAATTTTTTTGTCCAAGAAATTTCAGCTATGTCTTCCTGATTCTGATGAAATGTCTTTTGGGGTCTCAGGTTCCTTATGACTTCTTCATTTTTATACGCATTTCGTTCATATAGACATTAGCGTCACTTTGAAGTTTAAAAGCGTTTGAACAAGTTTTGTTATTTTGTCATTATCACTGATTTGTTTCTTACGTGTTATCAAATTTTTGTGGGTTATTTAAACCCAAAATATATTTTAGATTATATATATATATATATATATATATATAAATTTTAAGGCATTTTTTATGTTTATACATTCTTTTGATAGATACAAATATTTAAGTAAATGCTATGTTTATAATAAACAGTATAAAACAACACTGAATGCCCGAGAAATTTTCATAGAAAATATTCGTCCTTCGATAGGAATCGAACCTGTAACCTATACAGAACCGTCATATAGCCTGACGTGACTTAACCGATTTGGCCACAGAGGAGTGTTCGGTTAGCAAGGTCGATTTTACTGTTTTTAAACTACAATCTTCCATGATTCTCTCACGTACATTCATATCTGCTCAAAGAGTATCCAAATGTAAACAAAGACGTCACACATTATGAAATGGACAAAGTCCGACAATTATTTTAAGACATAAGACACGTCAGGCTATATGACGGTTCCGCATAGGATACAGGTTCGATTCCTGTCGGAGGACGAATATAATATGTAGGGGTAACAATATTTTTGGACCACTCTGTACAGCACAGAAATATACAGGGTGGTCGGAAAGTATTGTCACCCCCTACCAAATCAGTAACGAGAACAATAGAACAACAAGTAATACAAAGCACATGAACTGGATTCGGTTTATTCACTTTAATTGATGCCATCACACATCGAGAAGGTCTGTTATGAAGACGATCATTTTCATGGAATGATACGGCGCCATGTCCTGTGCGATATTTTACGAAGCTGTGCTTTGTTGTTTGTTGCAAAGACTCTCCGAACGACGTCTTTCAACTGATGGGTATTCTGGTATCGTTCAGGTGAAACTCTCTGTCTTTGATAATACCCCACATATATGTAGGCGTGAGAAGACTTTCGGTCTGCCTTGTCTATTAAAAAAAAAAACACATATGCATTTCCCTTTTCAAAATGGTCCTTTCCTACCTGGGAATTGATAAAAAAAATAATGAGCACATGAGATTTTACAAGTATTTTCATCTTCTCAGATATTTAAATTAGTGTACAGGGTGGTCCGAAAGTACTGTCACCCACTACCAAAAAGTAATGAGAACAAGAGAAGAACAAGTAACACCGTTAATACAAAGGACATGTATTAAGTTTTATTCACTTTCACTGACGCTGTCACACATCGATTAGGTCAGTATGAAGACCGTCATTTTCATGACACAATGTGATCTGTCTGTATTTCTTGCATTATTTGCATTATTCGTACTGTTATCCTCATTTTCATTGCCATATTCACATTGTTTCGGTCGTTGTACACTCCGGCCTTCTTGAAGTGTTTGGAATTTTTCTTCAATATCTGTCTATATTTCTGAGATGAGATATTATGATTACTTGCATTATTTACATTATTCGCATTGTCATCCTCATCTTCATTGCCATATTCACCACGTTTCGGTCGTTGTACGCTCTGGCCTTCTTCAGGAGATCTGATTGAAAATTATACTTTGCTGTCAATGGGTGGTCCGAAGGTCTTGTCCCCCTTACCAAAAACTAATGAGAACATTAGAAGAACAAGTAATAGAGTAATACAAAGCACATGTACTCGATTCAGTTTATTTACTTTCATTGACACTGTCACACATCGATTAGATCTGTAGAAGCCCGTGTCTGCCATCTGAAATAGAAAATTATATTATGTAAGGGTGACAAGACTTTCGGACTATCCTGAAGTTTATTGTCATACCCAGGACGCCTCATTGGGTTAGGTGGTCTTACCCTTCTGCAGAGGTACAGATGGTGTATTCTGAAGCCCAAACTGACAGGGCGTCACATGTTCAAGCCTTCTTATTTTCAGTACACTTCTGTTGAGCCCCGCCACTGCTCCCTCAAGTCTTCTGCGATGAAATTATCCAATATTTGCTGCCGTATACGACGTAAAAGTTCGACATTCTCCTTTGTCAGCGAAGTTTAGTTAATGGGATATCGATGACTCGCTTTCCCTTTAAGAAATAAATAATCATAGATATTTTTAGTTCTATTTTGGTCAGTAGGAAAAACTGCTCCCTATCCACACCGCCAACTCGGGCTCCCACCACCCCTTTTCAATGAATGAATGAATTAAAAGAGGTGACATTTACAGAGATAAGTCAAAAATATCTCTACTCAACATCTTTATACCCACCCAGACTCCTCTAATAAAAAAAAAAAAAAAACGATATTTTTTTCCTCTTGTAGCACTAACATAATCACAGAGACTCTGTTGGTCGATAATTTATAGATGACTTCTTCTACAACAACACCGCCTGATTACCAAAATTAGCCAAAAAAATGCTCTG